TATGTGTTTTCCGATGGTCTTAGGCGACCCCTGTGAAAGGGTCATTTGACCCCCAAAGGGGTCGCGACCCACAGATTGAGAACTGCTGCCTTAGATGGTACAGTGGCCTTCAAGGTGGATCCTCACCGCCTAGAACTCACTCCCATGTATCATCTCCTTCCGCACTGGCTAGGGCTAACCTGGCTAATAATAGGATGCAGCAGGTATGACCTTCCAAGACTAGGTCATAAAAAGCATTGCATCTTCCAACTGGTTCTCTCTTAGATCTCTTGCTCTGGGGGAAGTGAGCTACCATGTGGGGAGGACACTCAAGTAGCCTTTGGAGAAGTCCAGGGGTGGGACACAGGCCTCCAGTTGACAGCCAGCACTCACCCACCAACCACCCAGGAAGCAGATCCCCCAGCAGCCCAGCCCGTATCTGGACGGCAGCTTCATGACAGAGCCTAAACCAGAACCACCCAGCTGAGCCTCTCCCAAACTCCTGACTCACAGGAACTGTGACGTAAGGTCTATAGTTGTTTTAAGCCACCAGTTTTTGGGGTGGTCTGTTCCACAGAACTTGATAACTAATCCAGGTAGCATGAGGTTCCTTCATCAGCTGCCTGAGGCTGGTGTTCAGTCATTCGTATATCTCCATTTGTTTCTGGGATTAATCACAGCTACTTACAGATATTCTGTGACACCAGTTAAAGCGGCACTTACCTTTATATGTTTTGAATACGCAGCAGGTGACTTAAAAACTTTGGCCAAGATTGGAGTGGCATTGCTGAATTTCAGACAGTTAAGGGTAGGGAGAGCTGTTTCTACATAATACACCTTGTCAAATAATGTAAATACTGAAGTTAAAATGCTTAAAAACCTGAAAGCAGGTCAGTGTTTTAAATCATGTTATTTCTTTAAATATATTTGTACACAAAAAGAATGACATCTTGCCCAGCTGGTGTGGTTCAGTGGTTGAACATCGACCTATGAACCAAGGTTTGATTCCCAATCAGGGCACATGTCCGAAAATGTGGGCTTGATCCCCAATAGGGGGCATGCAGGAGGTAGCCAGTCAATAATTCTCTATCATTGATGTTTCTATCTCTCTCTCCTTGTCTCTCCCTCTCCCTTAATCTCTGAAATCAATAAAAATATATATATATTTTTAAATTCAGACATTTTTTGTGGATCCCTGAGTACTGTGCCTATTATACCTAATGGATGTTAGCCCTGGGTCCTGTTGTCTTACCAAGCTGCCAAGTCACTTTGCTCTGAGATTCTCTTTTCTTTTTCTTTCTTTTTTCCTTTTTTAAAATCTTTATTTTTGAAAGTATTACATATGTCTCCTTTTTCTCCCATTGTGAAATCCCTTTCTAATGGGTCTACCTGATCAAACAGCCTGAGGATTAAGTTCACACTAAATCTCACACTGCCTAAATCCACACACACACAAAACGGCAACCTCACTCCACTCATATAAACACTATAAACTCATTGGGCAATCATTTGACAATAATGTGTAGTCTGTATTCAAGAAGGGTTTATTTACATTCATAAATGATCAAATCCAAACAAAAACATAGACATGTCATTGACCTACAAATGCCAAAGTCATGGGAAGCATGTTCCTGGCATCTCAATGATAGCCAATAACTATTTGTTTGTTCGTTCATTTGTTCATTCATTAAATCACAAGACAGACATAAAACAAAGTCTCTTTCCTTATAAAACTTAAACTTGCATTCTAATACAAAAGACATAATAAACACTTAAATATGCATTTATTTATATACATTAAATAATTTCTGGTAGCAGTGTTCTAAAGAGTTTTAAAAAAAAAGCTGTTTTGTTGCTACATGTAGATAATCTACTTCAGCAGTCACAGCCAACCGGTGGTCCCACTGTGGCGACCCATCAGTCAACCGCTGCTCTAGTTTCCCCAAAAGGTTTCCAACAACAGAACACGCTGGGTGGGATGAACAGTGAAACTGAGCCCATGTGGTATGTCTTCATTCCTTGGGGTTTAACTCATTCCGTTTTACCCCAAGAAATGGTTTCAGGGCAACAACTACCTTTCTCAGTGAAGAGAAATAGTTGTAGGTCCTAATCTGGCATGGCTATTTATTTGATTTATTCCAAAGAACAGGGTACTTTTCTCCATGCCTCAGTTTCCCCACATATATAATTGGGGGAAGGGGGGTTGGCTTAGGTGATTTTCAAAGTAGTAATTCACACCAAATCTGTCTAACTCCAAAGCTTTGAAGTTAGCTATAACACTCTGTCTTTCCAAACTCCCAGTTTATTTAGTTACCACAGAAGTTAAAGCAAAATGCCTTCAGTGC